CTGATAAACACTGGTATAACATTTGAATCGTCGCAAAAATATGTATTGTAAGGCACTATCCACTTATTGATGATTTCTTGCTCAACTTGACGTCCATACTGACACATTTTGATCTTGCCGATATGACCTCCATCTTTTGGCTTTCTCCTTCTGTATCTGATGATCTTATGTGGTGAAACCTAAGTAGATAGTACCTGGCTCATTAGGATTTATTAAAACACACACACACACACATATATATATATATATATATATATATATATATATATATATAAAGGGAGAGGGGGAGGGGATGGAGAGAGGAGAGGGAGATACAAAACAAATTCCATCATTAAAACCTTCTTGGGATGAAGCGTGCAACATGGGAGTTTTATTCTCATTTAACATTCAATTACACACTATTAATCTGATATATATATATATATATATATATATATATATATATATATATATATATATATATATATATCAGGTCTGTTTGATGTGTATGTTAACCTACGTCATACAAGCGTAGGTGGTTGCATGCCTGTGTGTGAATATGCTAGCTCTCTTTCCCCACCACCACCAACCATGTATACCTGTGCATACGTGTCGGTATTTAGCTATAAACACACGCAGATTTGTGTACGACTAAAAAAAATTTTAAAATCCAAAATAATGGGCCGCATGTGAAGAAATGGTGAGAAAACATTTAAACAACGGGCATCTAGTCAAGCAAACATTTAATTCCCCTCCTGCCGTGATCCTGATGGGCCTTCCGAAGCTAATATCGTGTTCAGCCATTTCTTCCCCACTCTATGAAACACTGGAAATATTGGTATTGTGTATTGGTCCTGACTACCGTGTCCAGGCTAAGTTTGGATAAGCCAACCGGACTGTGTTGAGTGGCTTTCCTCTAAGGATTTTTTCCCCTCGGGTGTGTTAAGCGATCGGTCAAACGTGTGTTGAGACAACAAGAATGTCTTTTATATGACGTTTATCACCTCGTCTGTCAACCCGGAAGGCAAACAAACCAACCCTTATGTCCTCCTTGTGTCTTTTCTTTCTTTTGACTCCTTTTTCCTGTGACGATTTAATATTGTTGGCCTCCTCTGTGGGTTCACTTATATTACATTTATATGACACGTTAAATGTTTTAAAAGATCCTTGACTGGACATTAGAAGAAAGAAACGCTTCGTTAGAGCCATTCTTACGCCTACTCAGTAAAAATAAACAATATTTAAAAATGTCGATGATTACTTTCTACATAAGTGTCTTGTACTAGTGTTAAAATTATTGTACTAGATAAGTGTTTTAAAATATATGTATAAGGTTGTTCGGAAAGTAATTATGTATTTCACCGCTATAAATTAAGAGTTAACCAACCGAGGCAGAAGCCATGTTGAATGGTAGAAAACTGCATCCATAATTACTTTATCGTCTCTTCTCTTAGGTTGTTCGGAAAATAATTACGGATTCCACTGCGATGAATTATGAGTCAATCAATCAATGCATAAAAAAAGTCTGAATCAGAGGAAACTGTCTATGGACTTAGTTTATATCTGAAAGTCCGCTGTATATAGTCCTTTTCAATGTTTAATTGGGCAGGATTGTAAAGAGGGGATTTGGGTCAATCACGAGCCTTAGCTTCAGACTTGAGGTCACAGAGATGCAGTTCAATAGAATAATGGCGAGAATACAATGGACGTAGCATGTGAACAACAAGGAAGTTTTCACAAAAACGGAAACAAAAAGAACACTTGCACTTAAAGTCAGAGACAGTTAAAATTTCTAGTACACATAATGAAGAAAGTGAGCTTGGAAAATTTAACACTTACGAGACATGAGATGCGGAGGGGGGGGGACATTAAGTAATTTCCCTAACGAGCTTGTTTAAATGGATCCAGCAGAGGGAGTGATAGTAAATATACAAACATTGCTAAAAGCTACGAAGAACAGGAAGTTATGTAGAGCCATTATCACCTACCCCTTGAAGGGAGACGGCACATAGAAGTAGATTATAGAGTTTGGAAAGTAATTACGTATTTCACTGCTATGCATTAAGTCAACCAACCAATGTTGAATGGTAGGGAAAAGAAAGTGAAATTAGTTTCTCATTATCTCTAGCCGTCAATGCGTCAGAGTTTAACTGAGAAAAATTGAGAAAAGAGAATTTGGTTTCGGCATAAAAACCGAAGAAAATGTTTTTATTTTTTTAAGCAGTTATGTCAAACTTTCATTTTTGCATTCACTTAGGCGCATATACCACTGGGGAAAGTATGAATCCATCTCCTCTCCCCTCAGCTATGGGTTAAATAGTAGAACTTGTATCTGAAATAATGAATTATACTTAAAATTCAAAATGTGTTTCGGCTTTAAACAAGCCACAAAGAGTTGATAAGCCGTAAAAAGTAAGCAAATCAATCAAAGATGGCTAACCATTACACCTCGTCGAAGCGCCCAATTGATGAAGTTATAAACCGGTATAGTTTTCCGACATGAAATAGAGAAATCCTTTAATGTTAAAGTCGCCTTTCTCAAATGAGAAATGTTGGTTTTGTACTGCGGAATTTATTACGGCTTTAGAATAGAAAAAAGGTCAGAAGAAAAACTGACGCCAATAAATAATGAAAGTTTCTTAATGCTTTTGTTGTTTTCTGATAAAAACGGTCAAATTAAAAAGTATTGTCACTAATTTTTCACTTATATTTACGAAGTTTAGTTGAAGTCTGACACAAAGTTATTCGAACAGGAAAACGGGGCTGGAGTGGCTGTCTACAGGCCTTGAAAATCAGCGCAAAAAAAGGTTAGAATTGGCCAGACCCAAGTTATTGATTATTGGCATCAGTAAGGAAAATGCAAATACCTTATCCATTATCACAGCTTGCATATCTCTTTCTTTTTCTTTCTTTATTTTTCTCTCTCTCTCTCTCACACACACACACATACACACACACACACACACTATACATACATATATATATATATTAATATTTTATATTACTAGGATCCACTTGGATTATATATCAATGGATTTATTACCTTTACTATATATATATATATATATATATATATAGTAAAAGGTAATAAATTCATTGATATATATACACATATATATATAGTAAAGGTAATAAATCCATTGATATATAATCCAAGTGGATCCTAGTAATATAACATATTAATATATATATATATATATATATATATATATATATATATATATATATATATATGTATAGTGTGTGTGTGTATGTCTGTATGTGTGTGTGTAAGGGTTGATTGATAAGTAAGGTCTCCAATCCTATAAAAGAACTTTTAGGTCAAACAGATTAATGAAACTGGCATCAAAATGAAGTCAATTCATTTCTCTTCAAAATTACGATAGTTGATAAATGAGATCTCCAATATTTTAAAACATGTTCAAAACCCAAAATAATAATAAGCCTATTTCCTCCTCCTCCTCCTTCTCCTCTCTTTATTTCTATCTTTCTTCCCCCTTTTCGCTATCTCTCTCTCTATCTTTCTTTTTGTCTCTTTTTATACTTTTTCCCTCCCTTTTTTCTCTCTCCTCCTTTTTCTGCTTTTTACTTCCCTACCCAACAGGTTATTTCGTTTCTAATGCATTTCTTCTTCTCTTTTTTTCCTGCCCCATTTCTCACTCGTTTTTTTTTCTCCTTTTTCCAATAGTTGTTTAATTTCCTGGATGGCACTGGTCATTCCTGTTGACCCAAAAGAAAATGCCAGCCACTCGAAGAACTCTCTTCTTGACCGTCAACAAAAGCCATGCGCCTTCAATAATTTCCTCTTCTCAAAGCCCAACAAGTGATATTCCAGATCTAACTTTATTTCTTAAAACCTCTCTTCTTTGTCCCCGCCCTCAATATAACTCCAGTGTTTGCTCTAAAACAACCCGGCTTTTATTTCATTCTTTTTATTTTATTTTTTTATTTTATTTTTCTAGACGTATGCGTGCGTACCAAGATGTGTACAAAGAAACCTCAGTCAAGTCCATAGCCTCGAGCATTTTGGCTGATTATGTTCAACGGAAAACGGCTTAACGGAAAGCCAACTCAACGTATGTCAGATTAGAAACCAAATTAACCAGAATAAAGAAAAGTTTCCCACGTTAAATAAAGTCGTGTTGTTAATTTTTTTTTTTTTTTTTTTTTTTGTTATTAAAACGTCGTGTATTCATTTCCACATGTACCCTTCCCCTAATCCATAAACTAACCAGGCTAAGAAGACCTTCGTTATTTGCTGCAATTTAACGACACCGGTACGATTCTGATTATTACCGCTTACGCTGATTATCTATTGTCGCACAGAATCATGGGAAGTCTGTCATCATTGTTAGCTTTCTCAGACTGTTTGCATGCCTATAGTGATCGTTCTAAGTAGATCACGAGTTTGGATTTCACTTAATTTAACTGAGATAACTTTACGACAGTAGAGTGAATCAATTAATAATTCTCGTTGAGAAGTCGACCTCACCTCAGTAATCATTTCTAAGCACTATCGTATTTGGCCGCCTATAAGTTATTAATGTTTAACATTAGTAAAATTACGTTTGGTACTTGTTTTAAAATACATAAAAAAAAATATACTATTTAAAAATTTGTGTTTCTGTCATTCCTTAATTTTACAATATCTTGCTTGCATTTTGAGGCTGTAGCTTCCTTATTTGAAATCTTTTGCAAGGTCGGCAATTTCCAGACGAAAAATGTTGGCTGGCATAATAAAATATGGCATAGGATAACGCGACCACTGAACAGAAATTATTCGATGCTTCAGAAAAACTTTTCATCAGGAAACTTCGTCAGTAAAATGGTGACCTTTCCTTTTCTGTTTGAAAGCAATTAACAAAATAAATAATATCCCGCTAAAGTGTCTGCTTTTAATATCGCTCTCATACGTTATATATATATATATATGTGTGTGTGTGTGTGTGTGTGTAAGTGTGTGTAAGTATTGAACAATACCGACAAATACTGTTTGTCTGTCTAGTTGTCGAAATATAAACCGAAAGATATGAATAGATAGACGGGTAGATATGAACAGGCTAAGATAGATAGATAGATAGATAGATAGATAGATAGATAGATAGATAGATAGATAGATAGATGTAATGATAGCAGCAAAGAGGTAGAAAATTGTCTTCGAGTATCCACCGATAGTTGACCCCTTTTTGGGAGTTTTACTATTTTTTCATTAATGTACATCGTGTACAAAACCCAAGAACCTCTTGAGACATAAGGTTACAGAGTAAAATTAGGAGGTAGAGTTGATGGGAATATGAAGGGAAGATAACGGCTGACCGTAGACTTGAACAGATTAAGATTGTAGTGATCGGGGAAGCATCCTCTTGGGAGTCGGTTCTACAAAGTAACAGTTCGTGGGAAGAACTAACACTTTTTCCAGCTATGGACCGTGTATATAAGTTCCACTTGATGTCTGGTCTGAGTTTAAGTGGCAACAGGCGCTCTAGGCACGGGCCTGCCTAACAGGACACCTGTTCATCGCAATAGGTAAAACTTCGGGATCATCTCGTCGTTGATGGAACGTCACTAGTTTGATTTTCAAGGCATTGAATGTGACCAGCAAATTTTTTACCCACCGAGCTGGGTTAGAGGAGAGATTAACTGCCAATGTCTGGTCATCAAGAGTTTTGGAGGTGCGCCCATATACTGTTGTATCATCAGCATATATATTCACAAATGATCGGAATAAAATCTTAGGAAGATCATTTATTTAAAATAGAAAAAGTTGGGCCGAGAAGCGAGCCATTGGAGACACCTGCGTTGATCGCTTGTCTAGGAGGATTGGTCGTTAATAACTATCTTCAGGGACCTACCAGTTAGGAATGATTTAATAATTAAGAAGACACTTTCAGTGATTCCATAACTCTCCAGCTTGTGCAATAACCTTGTATGCCCCACCTTGAAATATTAGAGCATAATAAAGATTTGGAATGTATTAAATGAAAACGTCTTTAGATCCGACATGATTTATAGCGACTCGACCACAGAGGGCGTCGCTGAGCCAGGCCGAATAGTGCCTTATAATCCTTCCCAAGTTCATATCTGCTCAGTTTCGAACCCGAACGTAAACAAAGCCCTTTCTAAAGAAGTAATGGATTTTTTTATTAATCAGACAGATTCTTTATTTTTAGTGGATACTCATATCTGAGTAGATGCACTGTTTATTTTTAAAACAGTTTATTTATTTATTTTCGTCTATCTCTAATATTCAAGGTTATGGTTGGTTTCAAACTCTATAGATTATTTAATGCCGGTATCTAAATATTTTGAACACAGTTTTATGGTTTGGTTTGGTTTGGTATATTTTGTTTTATGGCATATCAACATCCCAATGGGTTCACTATTTATATTATTCGGACTATTGTCCTCATCTTTGTCGCCATATTTATTACAACCCTTTATTTCGCTCACTTTCGGTACACTGTTCTTGTTCCACGTGCCATGTTTTAATGGATGTCAGTTATCAGTTATCTCCTGTTAATGCCCCTCTGAAAGTTCTCCACTGCCTTAGCCGGGTATTGAACTCACACTCTTTGGGTCCTGTCACTTTATCCACTGTGCCATGTGTCCTTGAGTTCGACATTCCAACCACCTGAAGAAGGTCGGAGCGTACAACAGCCGTAAAGTTGTAATAAATATGGCGACAAAGATGAGGACAACAGTCCGAATAATTTAAATACATAATACATCATCTCAGAAATATATATGTATTAATATTTTCTTTTTTCTTCAAAAACGTATTGCTGGTATTTTTACTATAAAAATTTATTTTATAGTTTCATAGTGTTTTGACCCTAGTTTAGGGTTAACTATTTGCCGATAGCCGGGATCCTAACAAATGCTACCACCCCGAGTCAGGGTGGACGTGAAAACAACTGCAATTAAGAGGTGGTTCCATGTTCCTCAAAACCTCCTGATCAGACGCCTTGCTGCCGGATGTAGTTTATCGTCGTACTTAAGACGCTGAATATTCGAGAAGTTTTATTAAAGAAAAAGTGTGGTTACGAAACTGAGCCCATCGAATCTGGAAAGGATTATCATTATTCGGTCATGCTAGATTGGCGACACCCTCCGTGGCCGAGTCGGTCTTAAGCAATGTAATGTATTGGTTGTGTAAATGTTTCCTGCGGTTTTTATTCTAATTTTTTTTCTTACTCTGTATACAATCTTTAGTTTTCCAAAGGTCTCGTGTAAGTAACAAGAGGAATGAACGCCATCTCTGTAACCACTAGAGCACAACCAAATATTTTACCCGAGTCAAACACTTAAGGCCAACTTCCTGGGATTTGTTGAAATTTGTCTTTCATGATTTGTTTCTCATGTACATGACACAAAATGATAGATTATAAATAGTGAGCTTCTATTTCGACGCCAATTTCAACAAAGAGAATTAACTGCAGAGTAACGTCGAAAGCGTAAAGGGCAGGGTAGGGCAGGTTATTTGAGAGGTAAGCACGAAAAATAAAGAGAGAGAGAGAAAGAGAAAAAAAAGAAAGAAAAATATTTCCGTTGATTACAGAACCTGGAATCAACGACTCACGGTGAAAAGAAAAGCAAAATGGCGGTGAAGTAGGGGACCAAAACAGCCGGCGGGCTGAAACCCTTAAATGTCGTGTTTTTATGGGTCGATATACGAGCGAATAATAGACTCCTGGATGAATAACTTCTGATCATAAATACAGTAAAAAAAAAAAGTAGCATAACAAAACACCTCTTTTATTCCAGTGAAAAATGAAGAAAAGGATATTTATGGCTTACAATTTCCTTCCGTCCTCCCACTCACTCACTCTCTCACTCTCTCTTTCTCTCTCTGTCTGTCTCTTTCTTTCTCTATGGCTTACAATTTCCTTTCGCCCCCCTCTCTCACTGTCTCTTTCTCATTCTCTTTCTCTCTCTCTCTTTCTCTCTCTCTCTCTTTCTCTCTCTTTCTCTCTCTCTCTCTGTCTTTCTCTCTATATCTGTCTTTCTCTCTGTATCTTTCTTTCTCTCTCTCTCTTTGGCTTACAATTTCCTTCCGTCCTCTCTCTCTCTCTCTCTTTGGCTTACAATTTCCTTCCGTCCTCTCTCTCTGTCTCTCTCTTTCTCTTTCTTTCTTTCTCTCTTTCTCTCTTTCTCTCTCTCTATGGCTTACAATTTTCTTCCATCCACCTCACGCTGTCTTTCTCTCCCTTTCTCCTACTCTTTCTCTCTCGCTCTGTCTTTGTGTCTTTCTCTCTGTCTTTCTTTCTCTCTGTCTTTCTCTCTCTTTCTTTCTCTCTTTCTCTCTCTCTCTATGTCTTACAATTTTCTTCCATCCGCCTCACGCTGTCTTTCTCTCCCTTTCTCCTCTCTTTCTCTCTCGCTCTGTCTTTTTGTCTTTCTCTCTGTCTTTCTTTCTCTCTGTCTCTCTCTCTCTTTCTTTCTCTCTTTCTCTCTCTCTCTATGTCTTACAATTTTCTTCCATCCACCTCACGCTGTCTTTCTCTCCCTTTCTCCTACTCTTTCTCTCTCGCTCTGTCTTTGTGTCTTTCTCTCTGTCTTTCTTTTCTCTGTCTTTTCTCTCTTTCTTTCTCTCTTTTCTCTCTCTCTATGTCTTACAATTTTCTTCCATCCGCCTCACGCTGTCTTTCTCTCCCTTTCTCCTACTCTTTCTCTCTCGCTCTGTCTTTGTGTCTTTCTCTCTGTCTTTCTTTCTCTCTGTCTCTCTCTATTTCTCTCTTTCTCTCTCTCTCTATGTCTTACAATTTTTTTCCATCCACCACAAGCTGTCTTTCTCTCCCTTTCTCCTACTCTTTCTCTCTCGCTCTGTCTTTGTGTCTTTCTCTCTGTCTCTCTCTCTCTCTTTCTTTCTCTCTTTCTATCTCTCTGTTTATCTCTTTCTTGTTGGGGTCTTTTTCTTTTTTTTCTATTTCAACTTTGACATTTATTCATTCTATTTTTTTCTTTTTTATTCACTTATCTATTTTTTGTCTGTTTTTCTTTTTTTATTTCTTTTGAACATTTTCCCTTACAACATTTATTCTTAAATTTCTTATTTCTTTCTCGCTCTCTCTCTTTCTCTTCTTCTTCTTCTTCTTCTTTCTTTTCTTTCTTTCTTTTCCTTTTTAATTACTTTCTTTCTTTACCAACCTTCACTTTACAACTTTTTATTCTTACATTTTCTGTTTCTCTCTTAGTCTCTTTCTATTCTCTCTCTCTCTTTTTCCCTTTCTTTTTAGTTTCCTTCTGTCCTTCTTTCTTCATTCTTTTCTTTCTTTTCCAAAGTTTTTCCCACATAACTTTCTTTTACTCTTTCATTTCTTTACACTCCCTATTCCTCCTTATTTTTTCTGCTTTTCCGATTTTTTTCTTTCATTCACTCTTTCTTTCTCTCTCTCTCTTTCTTTCTTTCTTTCTTTCTTTCTCTCTCTCTCTTTATTTCTGTCTTTCTCTCTCTTTCTTTCTTTCTTTCTTTCTTTTCCAACGTTTCCTCTTTCAATTTTCTGTTATACTTTCATTTCATTTTCTCTCCCTCTCTTTCTCAAATTTATCCTTTCTTTTTTCATTTTTTTCTTTCTTTCTTTTCCTTCCACCTTCCATCCCCTCTTTCTTTTCCCACGACTTTTTCTTATAACTTTCTTTTATTTTCTGTTTTCTTCTTTCCTTCTCATTCTACTCTGTTTTCTTCCTTTTATATTCTTTTTTAATTTCGTTTTTCTTCATTTATTTCTTTTCAAAGTTTTTCCCTGACAACGTTCTTCAATATTTCATTTCTTATATTTTTCTTCTCTTTTCTCTTTTAATTTTCTCTTTTCTCATTTTCTTTTCTTTCTTTTTTCTGCTCATTTCCTCTTAGTTTTTCCTTTTCTATCTATTCTTAAATTCTCTTTCCATTTCTTTTTTTATTCTGTTTTTCTTTCTAATCGTTTCAAAGTTTTCTTACATTTATTTTACTACTCACAAAATCTTTTTCTTTTGCTTTTTCTTTCAATTTGTCTCATGCATTTCTACGTAAAATCTTTCTTTACTGCAGGTCCCAGTTAAAAATTCTGATAAAGGAATATACCAAACAAACATCGGTGAAAATTATTATTATTATTATTATTTGTCTATGTTTTGTTTGCTGCTTTGTGTCCTGTAGAGCCGGCTGCAAGTTATGGTCCTTAGGTCCTATAGGAGAACTGTCATTTAATTGATAGCACTTTTTCTTAGTATGTCGTATGTTCCTAGTAGGGCGATTTTCTGGGCAACTTGTATGTTACCTGGGACACTGTTAGTAAAATTGTCTATTCCTTTTCTCACAAAGCCCAGAGATCCGATTACTATCGGTAAAGTCTTCATTCCCCACATCTTGGTCCTTGTATTTGGACAATTTCTGTTTCTCTTTTATGGAGGTGTTTCTCTCAATAGACATACAATTCTTGAATTTCTTGTTTTTTTATGATAATATCAAGTCTGTTGGCTTTTATTTCCCTGTCAGTTTGAAGTGATTATTATTATTATTATTATTATTATTATTATTATTATTATAACAAAAGTACTAGTATTACTAGTAATGACGATGATAGATTTTAAGGTTTATTAATCATTTGTAGGTTGTTTACAACTAGAAAAATTTTTAGATTTTAAGAATGTTTAAGAAATAATAATGATTTACTGATATATGTCATACCAATTAACCCATAGCTGGGGGGAAAAGAGGTGAATTGGTACCTTTTCCAAAGAGCATTTTTACGTAATTGAATATAACGAACCCGACAGGCATTGGAACAGTGAGGTCAATAAGTGGTGATAGTCTGTTTCATGCTTGGACGCAGTATTAAGGCCATATATATATATATATATATATATATATATATATATATATATATATATATATATATGAAAACAAAAGGAAACCTTATTTTAGTTGACGAGATTCGTCCTCTGACGGACTTCAATGTGAGGATATTATATTTAGCAGCCAGAATATATAAACAGAAGTAAAAATATTAGATTTTGAAAATTGTTAAAGTTAATTATTAGGTTAACTGAACAGCCTAAGTAAATTATGGAAGATGCTAAGTGACATAATTTAATGTCTAATAAACGAAAGTGAGTAAATTATACATATATTGTTGTAGTCATGTTAGGGCCAGAAGTAAAGACACAAGAGAGGAATTGAGTTCAACAAATATATTAACAGAAAAACATTAATACAAATGAGAGTGTTACAGCAAGAATATTCGGTCTGACTATCAGAGCTGACTGCTGGAGACTATCCTCCTCGAAAGGGCAGTACCTGCTCTTATTTATAGCTGGGAGAGACCATGCGTGCATGGGGAAATTACTATAACAGTATTTAACAGAAAATCAGGAGAAACTGGTGATGGATACACATCTTCCTTAAATTCAGGTAAAAATCTTCATAATGGAATATATCAAAGAGCAAATCTGGGAAACAGGAGATAATATCACAGGATAAAAATAACCATTTACTACTGGTAAAGTATTGTATCAAGCAGTAAATCAGGAAAACGGGTGATGATAACACAGGCCAACAAAAATATTCATTTACTTCAGGTAAAAGATATAGTGAAAGATTGTATCAAACAGCAAATCAGGAAAACAGGGGATGTTAACACAGGCCTACAAACATCTTCCTTTAATTCAGGTATAAACTTGGGAACGGAATGTATTAAAGAGAAAATCAAGAAAACAAGTGATAATGCACAGGTCACCAAATATATATATTTATTTGCTTCTGGTAAAAGATGTGGTAAAGCATTGTGTCAAAAAGCAAATCAGAAAAACACGGGATGATAACGCAAGTCAACAGAAATCTAACTTTACTTCAGGTAAAAAAAAGGATTTTATCAGAAAGCTCGTCTGAAAACAGGAGATAATAACAGCTGTCAACAAAAAAATATTCTTTTACTCCTGGTACGAATCTTTGTAAAGTATTGTTTCAAACAGCAAATCAGGAAAACAAGAGATGATAACACCAGTCAACCAAAATATTCATTTATTTCAGATAAAAGACATGATCAGATATTTAAATGATATAGCTACATATTCTCTGGGAAGAATTATATGAAATTAAATGCAACATAATTTAATATGCTTAATACTTAAAATAAAAACCTACCTTTACTTCTAGTTTGATATTTTCTGGTAAGAAGTACTAGAACTTAAATGTGACATAATTTGATATCCTCAATACTTTAGTAAGAAAAACCTATCACCTTTACCTCTGGTTAGATATTCTCTGGAGAGAATTATTACAACTTAAATGTAACGTAATTTAATATGCTTTACTAAAACTTATAACCTTTACATATGGTTTCAAATAAAAGATTTGGTAAAAGAATTGTATAAAACAATAAATCAGGAAAAGAGATAATAATAATAATAATAATAATAATAATAATAATAATAATAATAATAATAATAATAATATGTACAGAAAGATCAATCTCTGAACTTCTTTTACGTACCATGTCACTTCAGGACGTTTATGAACATGGCTCTCCACAATTTTCTTTGAAACTCTTAGCAAATGTTGTTCTTTTGTTAGCGATGAACTACAAGTGTAAATGGATGTCATACACTTGAAGCATTACAACCATAACAAGATCATAATGAAGGAAAAGAAGAGGTATTTACAAAGCTAAATGGTGGGGTAGAAAGATTATGCTGCGTCAGTGTTTAAAAAAGACAGCCTGCTTACCTTTAAA